GCCTGCGGCACAGCAGCCGAGTGCCTTAGCCACTTGACCACCGTGGCGGGGAAAAAGACATCGTATCGCAACTCTTGATAAGATATTTTTATTGTGATGCATTTGATGTCAAAGAGAATTAATTCGTTTACAGTAGTGAGCGACAATGCGCCACCTACTGGAGATGCAGTGCTTTACATGAAGTCACACCACACGCCAACAGCCACCGATTACAAATGGAAGTACAAATCAATCGCAAGCGAGATACTCTCGGTATTTCCAATGGTGCATATTTCCACTTCCTCAATAGTCTCAGTATTCAGAATACCAACGCTACCTGTTTATTTGAAAGTTTTGAGATGATATTGTTTAGCCATTATTCAATGCAGCGCCCAAACCAGTCGGGTTCGTCAGAGTTTTTTTAAGGTGTGCAATTCCAACGTTCTAAGTTATTTCTTGACCAGGTGCTTCAAATAATTTAGTTTGTCATTTATCGCAGTGACATGCCTCAAGTACGTGATAACTAACTGATTGAAATGATACCTTTACCTTATTTAGCTCTGACGTTGCTGATAAAACACTGCACGAAACTACGCTCCCATAGATGGTAACAGACATTATTCCAGCGGTAGTTTGAAGTTTCGAACAATACGAATAATATCAGTTTGCCCTTGCCAAATTGGTGGTGGTTTTTGATATGTAGTGCGCGTGGGTTTGGATGAATCATGCTTCTGCACGGCTCTTCAATGTCGGAGTGAAAAGTGCAGAGAACGACAAACTACGACGATGCAGCTAGAAAGCATTTTTTTGACCACTCAATTCTTACTTTTCAGCGCTCGCACTACAAAAGAAAAAAAAATAATAGGGCACTGGGTAGCTATTTATGGGTGGCTTATTATGGGTAGCTTATAATTATGGGTAGCTATCCTATTCGGTTTGCGTTTTTCAAACAAAATAGGGCCGTGCTTGAAAAGTAAAGTAACTAAAAAGTTGGACTGGTAGAGAGACACTGTTGTTAGTATGCAGATCCACAGACGTTTGGTGCTGTTCGCGAATGTCGCTGTGTTGTACTGTGCATTTGCTCTATTCATGTAATGCTCACTCACTGATGAAAAATGTATACCAGGTACTCACAAAGCAACAAATGAGAAAAAAAATGTGTGATTTAAATGTGCAAACCTCGCGTAGACAGCCAACACTAGAGCGGCAAATTTGTACATAGCACGCTCCTAATAATGAGTGGTTGCAGTGCCTAAAGCTTTCGCATCATTGACATGGCTATGAAGTCAAGGAAATTTTACGCAAAAAAAATGTAAATACGCGCACATAACCAGAACTAATCTATTCTTGGCGCAAAAGTTGGGTGAGGTTCCCGGTGGCAATCACATTCACACTGTACTACTTATTGAGGCAACAACAATCGTTAAACCTATACTTATTTCTTGAGATATTAGGGCAGATGTCGTGACTGCATCATATCCTCCGCGCAATGTGGCCACTAAAAAAGAGATATCACAAAATAGAATAACAAGACCAACAAGTACAATTAAGGGGGTAGTTACTACTTGATTATTAATATACCAATGAATGCGTTGCTAGTCCCTATAACATTCAAACATGACTGCAGCTAAACCTCGTGGAGGGTTTTAACGTTACACCTGGCGCTGGCATTCAAAGAAGTGTGGGCTACGACGCTCTCTTGTCTCGGTGAACGTAACGCTTATTGAGCCCGCTGTTCATTGCAGCTTCATGGAAGTCTAGATACAAAGACATAGAGACAGAGAGAGAGAAAGAATATAAGTTAACTAGACTATGTCCAGTTTACTGTCCACACTACCCTACACCTAGGCAGAGGTAATAGGAAGATAATGTCCGTTTGTCTACAGAGTCTTCAAGCTGTTCATCATGCATTTGAAACAACTCAAAATTAATACAAATCTAAAACGAGAAGCCACAACATTATACGAACCGGTTTATGATGCGGTAGTCACATGGAATACCTGGCCTATGCACCATGTGGTTGGCACCATATTCAAACTCGGCATCATCGCGCTATATTTGCATACTTAAAATCGGCATCAGCATGGACGCGTTACCATCTCTTGACGCGCTGTACAGGTATGAGAACAATGATGTGTTCTGTTTGCCATGCGAAAACAATGAAGAATAGAGCCTGCTGTCTTTTCAATGTTATCACTGTCAAACTACATGTGTTTGTTGTGAAAGTTGAAAAGTGTTGAAAACCTATCGCCACGGGCATGAGCGCCCACCAACGATAAAAGCGCGACTAGGTAAGCAGGGCTTGCAGTCTAAACCAAAAACTCAATGAAATTTCTGTTTCAAATAGTCGTAGTCTTCAAGATGCCAAAGTTAACTATGAATTTACTTTACGGTTTATCTGACACTTGGCTAAATGATTGATTGCCTCATTTCAGGACCTAGGCTGTAAGGGGGCGTCGTATCCAGGCAATGTGCTGTCAGGGCTTGTGTTTTGTTCGGCGCATTGCCGGGTCAACGAGGCATCAATCGTTTTTGCCTGGCGTTTTCGTGTGTCCCTTCCGTAGTTTATTTATTTGCCCATACGCTGTTCAATGGCGTGTCATTTCAAAGCTCAACTAGCTCACAGAATGTATAGATACCCACTCCTGAGACTGCCGACGGCTTTCGCTGGCGCACGGCTGCGTGCCCTCGCCTTCGGGGACGGTGAATGCGACTCGCTCTGCAGTGACAACAGGCCTCGGAAACTCGGCGCCAGTTTGGTTTGAAGGAACATGCGTTCTCGTAGTGGTTGGCGGGTATCACAAGATCCTGTTGAACGGAGTGAGGTTGATGGGAATGCGCGTACTTGTTAACTTTCAAAAGTTTTTAAAATAAAAAAATCGATACCCATGAAAATAAACACTCGTTTGCTTATATATATTTTCTTCTTACTTATTTCGTGCATTTTGAATCACGTGAAGCGTTCCTAGCGCTTGCCTCCGCTCCATCTCCCCCCTCGCACAGCTATGTTAGGCGTTAGATCGCACTCACTTATTTCGCTCGGTTGGCGTGTCAACTACGGGAGGGATAAAGACAGCAAATTGTGGCGGGGAGAAAACAGAAGCCGCTGTGCGTTACGCCGAACAAGTCAACCATGCATTCGCTGAAGATGACTTAATCAGGCAGCACAAGCTTTCCGCGGCTCTGCGGTGTGCTAACCCAAGGATTTCTAGTTCTGCGAAGGTTCTTTAGCGTTTCCTAAAGGCTACTGGCGAGCACAAAAACTAGGACCCACTATTTGAGCAGGTATTGACTTTGCATGAATACAAGAGTAAACCTAGCTCTCTAAAAGCCTGACTAGACTGACGGAAGTGCAGTGTTGCTTGAATTATTGATGAAGACAGCAGCCAAGTTCATCACGAGAAAACGCGTTTATTGAAATGCTCGAATTCAAGTTTACTCGGCTACATAGTTTTAGTTTCTTCTACTTTCTACGTGTAGTTCAAATGATGTCAATTAATTATATGCTGATTCCTCCTCATGAAATTCTTCTAGTCACGGTTTGATGACTTGAGTCTTTACTTCTAAGTCTGTCACTCAAGTACGCGTGATGAACCATATGCTTCTAAAATTACTGCTGAAAATGTCGATGGAGCCAACGTATTGACAAGTGAGATTTTCTTCGTAAAGGTGACACTGTTGCCCTGACGAAGACAAGTCAACTTGCCGAAACACTGCTTACAGCGACGTTCTTTCTCGAAAAACCTCTGATCGCTTCAAGCTTCTCCGTGCCCCTAGACTTCAGTCTGGTTTGGTACCAAAGTTTTGTAAGAAATCTATATGCGCCGTCATAACAAACGTGATTGAGTAAAATACAACGTGTCCTACTCGCGATTGTTGATCATCTTCGCATTGGTTCCGATATTCTGGGTTCAACGTTTAGTCATTATGTTTGTATGTCAGTTTTGAGTTAAAGCTGTTTTTATAGATGCACACTTTCACAGTAGTAGTATGTATGTTTTTTATACGAAATGTTTAACAAAAATGTTCATTTTATTTGTGTCCATCAGGTTTTGTATTACTGAAAATTCAGTCAGCTTAACTTTTGCCTCTTCAGAAAACACGGACAAAATCAAAATAAAAAATAAGAAAATTTTAAGAATGGCTACATTGCCCGAGTGGCAAGGGGATTTGAAAGAAGGCACGAGTGCATTCCGCTTCCATGCGTAGTGGGAAAGGAGGGCTTTCATGGCAACCCTCCTGCTCTCGATTTTTTGTCCTTTCCCTGTATTTCTGGACGTCACTAGTGACGTCATAAAAGATATTTCCTGTTCTCGATTTATTTCTTATAGGATGCCCGGGAACCGCCAGTAGTAAAATCGGCGTTGCCGCTGCCGAGAGCGAATACATGGAAGGCATAGGGATTTTCCGCCCTTTGGCGAGGCGCTGCCCTCTACTGTTTCCAAAGTGGTATTCTCAAGCCTGCTGTCTTATTGCAGTGGTTTTCTACGAATAGGCAACGCACGTTTTTGAACTATGCTGTGGTGTTCATGAAGACTTATCATTGATTGATATGTGGGGTTTAACGTCCCAAAACCACCTAATGATTATGAGAGACGCCGTAGTGCAGGGCTCCGGAAATTTCGACCACCCGGGGTTCTTTAAGGTGCACCCAAATCTGAGCACACGGGCCTACAACATCTCCGCCTCCATCGGAAATGCAGCCGCCGCAGCCGGGATTTGATCCCGTGACCTGCGGGTCAGCAGCCGAGTACCTTAGCCATTAGACCACCACAGCGGGGCCATAAAGACTTATCAAATTTCCCCTGCAAAGTTTTTTAGGTATATAGCAAGTACACTATTTGGGTAATGAAACAGCCTTGCTTCTTAAGCCTTTCTTGTTGGTTTTCTCTTGTTCTCGCGCATGCAATCAGCGAGCCATAGGGTGCCGTAAAATCACGTATTTTGAACGGCATGTATAAAGTCCCCCCCCCCCCCCCCCCCCAAATAAAAAAAATCAATTTCACGCCATGCAGGGCCTATAGTTGTCCCCTCCATACCTATACGTTGACGGTGGCAACGAGCCGTCAACTACTGGATACAAGGGCTTCTATGGAACTTACTCGACAAGTGTACATATACCTTGATGTTATCGCAAGTGTCAATAGGCCTCTGATCAACGCAATGAATGTTTAGGCGTACAAAACAATTCATCAATAACATTCACTGTCCCTATGCAGAAAAACGCCACAAATAGCATCGAAATCGTCTGAGAACATTTCTAAATACCAATAGTGTCCATACCAATAACAGAGCAGGTTAGCCATTGCGGCAAAACATGCAAGTGACCCGAATATTTATGATTACGACGCCAAGCGTAGCCAGTAACGTGAGAGGAACGAAGAATGCGTTGCGTGTGTGACATAAACGCAGTAGCTCTGTCGACGTGCAGTCACCATCTGTAGGTTGTGTAAACAGCTTTCACCTATGTCCTTAAGCTGAAGGCACCGTGTGTGCGCAGCAACACGTATGAAATCTGAGCCCACTATGTACCAACCAGTAAGGCCAACTGTTTCACGGGCTTGCAAACATACTTTTTCCGAAGTATTTGACGTGACAGAATATTAACGTCTCGACGACACAAGATAAGAAGAAAATAGTTGAGGCATGTGACCCCAGAAATGCTGTCTGCACATATCACTAGATCACACAAAGTAGACAAAATCTTCATATAAATCCCGGTACGACAGTCACTGGAAAGCTGCATGACATGACGGAGATATAACCTGTTGTTTTCAAAATGAGCAAAGCTAGTGAGTCTTTTCTACTTTTAAACGTTTATGAATGGCAGTTGGTGGAATGAAACACCAACATATCAAAAGCTGGAATTTTATGCAAATTTTGTGTTTTCAGAGCAGAGCGAACGTAAATATTGCGAGATATTATCCACCCCACGCAGAGTCTTATGAATGCAAGTACAACATGGCCCTGCTTTGAAAAAGTTCATTGCTTTATATACAAAGATATACTAAAATGAACAACGAATTGCGTGTGCACGTGTACGCTAGATCTTGTTTTAGATCTCAGCAATCACGTGAAGATACTTCCCCTGTCAGACTTTTAGGAAAAAGTCGTGTCGTTTGTTCGATATGTTAAATATGAGGTGGACTGAGAGAAGCTTGATTAGAGCTACGGCGAAACATGGATAAAACCCAAACACGAGAACTAAGTGCGTCTAAGCAGCCTATTTAAGCTGCATGACTCTGCGGAGGCTATGAAACTGTAGGCTATAAAAATATCTTAACAAGAATGCTAGCAAAAATAGCGGACTGAATTACACGTCCTTATGTAGCCTATCGGCACCGTGTCCTGTTTTGAATCCGTATGGAGGAACAGGGAGACACTCAGCGAGTCGATACCAGACCACAATCGTGGGCCAGCCGCATTTGCGTTGATTGAATCTCGCGTTCCGGAAGGCCACACGCATCTGTTGCAGTGCCCGTGGAATTTGGACGCGGTGCCTCCTCAGAGAGAGAGGGGGGCGCGTGGCCATACGCAAGGCTGCACGCCCACTCTCTTTTAAGGGAGAAGGCGTGGCGCAGCGTCGAAATTCCACGCGCGCTGCAAGAGGTGCGTGTGGAGAGGTTTTTAGGCTCCCGTGTTTCAGGAAGCCTTCTTGTGGTCTCGGTGGAACTTGTTGTTCGCCGTCACATTGCCGCGGTTCTCGACAAATATGCTAGCCGTGACAATGCCAGGCTTGTCGCGGAAACCCTTGACCCAAAGCAGCTTGCGGTCCGAACTAGCCATGGCAGAGCTGCCCATGGGACCACCATTGCCAGCCTCTCCGCTGCTCGGACTGGAGCCCTGGGCACTGGCACCTCCGTCACCGTTCGCGGAGGGAGGTTGAGCAGACTTGCACGGCAGCTGCCGGTACTCGAGGTGGAAACCTTTGCCGCCACTGTAACCGTCCGTCATGAACAGAATCCGAATCTCGGGCGAAGGACCATCTGGAAAGGGGAACTTGCCTGCGTGCACACGAAAAGGGCAAAGAAAAACACCAGCTCTCAATACACAAGAACTGTCAATAGAAAAGCGCTACTGTTGTTCTAATAGGAAAGCAGATTGCTTTTCTTGCAGTTTGTGGCATTTACAATTTTTCAGATAGCCGATTTACCCCGAATTAAAATTAACAAGTGCTTTCAAGCACAGCAGCAAAATACAGTTTATATTTACATAAAAATGGTTCAACAGACACGTCATGGAGTCATCGTTTCGAAAAGCATACTTCTCTGTTTGAAGATTGCGACTCATTCTCCTAGTGCTTAAGACGACTAGCGGGAATGTGGTGAAGGTGAAGGTAAATTAAACTTTATTTGGTCCTGGAGAACCGGATCAGGCATGCCCTGAAGGGGGGGGGGGGGGTCCCTTCCAGTTGCTGGCCGTGTACACGCCGATATCGGAAGACCATGGTCCCTCACTCATTCACAGACCTCCTGGACTGCATGCTGAGAGCTGGACTGAGAGCTTGGAGCTTTTAAAGGCCCTCCCCTACTCCTGTGCTGAACTTTGCGCTACGTAAGGCCGGACACTGCCAGAGCAAGTGGTGTTGCCCATGCAACGAACTTCCATACTACTTTACTAGAGCGAAGCGTAAAACTAAAATGACAAGTTGTTTACTCTCTTTCGAGTATCTTTATCTCGTGAGAATTTGTAACGCATCACGCTGAACAGCACTAGCAAGTGTTTGATACAAGTTTCTATGCTTGCCATGGAACGACAGCAATTCGGAGACAAATCCGCATGATCGTGCGGTGAGACATGCCATATCAAGTAGGACCTCCTGAGATGTTAGGACCTCCACATTGCACGTTGTCCAAATAGCTTTAGTCGTTCAACAGTACAACAAGATGGCAAGTTGGGCCAGTTGGATTAGGTTCATAATTGAATAATTTGTTGAAGCGCACTAAAGAACAGAGAGACAGAAAAGGCTGACAAAGACAGTGCTCGTTCTGTCCTTGTTAGCCTCTTCTGTCCGTCTGTTTTTTAGTGCGCTTCAACAATTTTTTGTCAATTATGAATAGTACAACAGTCGCAATGAGCGACACGAAAGTGCATAAGACAGGGGTATGCGTCGAACAATCTGTGCTCAATGTTTTATTGATTTAATTAATTTGGTAAATCTATTTTAAGCTAAGTAGGGTTAAGAGTTGGGGTAGTTGGTGACTGATAATTAAAGGCCACATTTTTAGGCACTAAAAAGCGTATTTTAGGCACCAAAGACAGGCAGGAAAAACACTGATTTGGCCTTCGAAATCATAAACATAGGCACAATAAAGTTTTACAAAATTAAAATAATTTAAAACAATTATAGACGTCTTTTACTTGTATCTACGTCAAGAATGAAAAAAGAATGATATTGTTTAAAATAGGACGAACGCACAAACGGTTGAACATAGACATGCATTTCCCGCGCGATATGCCGATTTCGGTCATTCGTTGTCTAACATTTCGAGTCAAGTGCCCACCGTCCAATCAACACACTACTGGGTCTTTCTCGTTTCGTTTTTGCTGGGAAGGGCAGCGCAGGAGCAAATCACTAAACCACTGATACCTCAGAAGGGAGGGATGCCAGGGTCTAATTCCGTAGGATCAGTTTTTTCCCTGACGGTGAGCACCTTCAAGAGACCCTCATTAGCTTTGAGCATTTCGACCTGACAAGCCTAAAGTATGCACTGGGCACTGAGGATCATGCCTTTAAGATTTGTAGCACTACATGTCATGAAAAAACAGTGAATTGTCAATGAATGTCACTTGCCCTTCTAGAGGGCGTGTGCCCCAAGATGGAGGGAGGGACGTACACCAAGAAATGGTCCTGCTTTAACGCCGCTTCTTTAGGTTAGCATTAGGGTTCCGATGTAGCTCACCATACAATCATTATCACAACTTGGTTAAATGCTAGCTATATCTAGAAAAACAGGCGAAAATGTCCCATATACTGATTATATGCTGCATTTGAAATGGTACCTCATGAAGAGTGTTGCACGGGACATTATACTAGTTGCCATGTGTAGTTTTTGTGTTATGTTGTGTAGCATGAATGAGGAGTATTGTGGTTTGGGCTGGCTGCTTCATATCATTTTGAAAGAGAAGCGCGAAGGCAAAAGGAAAAGAAAGACAGAGCTCTTTGTCTCTGTTTTTCTTTCCCTTTTGTCTAGGCGCTGCCCTTTCAAAATGAGTATAATAAATGAACACCGACAAAAATATTAAAACACGCGACCGAAATGTTATTTTTGTTTTTCATGGCCGCGAGATGCTATACACTAATCGGCCCTCGTTTCACGTCCGCCTCCGTAGACAAGCGGTAGGGTGCTCCGCTGCTCACCCCAATGTCACGGGCTTGATTTCGGCCACGGCGGTAACATCTATATATGGAGGCGAAAAGGTAGATGCCCGCGTACTGCGCTATTTTAGTGCATGTTAAAGAACCCCAGCTGGTCACGATTTTCGGAGATCTCCACTACGGCATCCATCATAATCACATCGTAGTTGTTTCACGGAAAACCACACATATGTGCCACCACAACAACTACTACTATACACCACCACCACCACCACCACCACCACCACCACCACCACCACCACCACCACCACCACCACCACCACCACCGCCACCACCACCACCACCACCGCCACCACCACCGCCACCACCGCCACCACCACCACCACCACCACCGCCACCACCACCACCACCACCACCACCACTACACTACTACTACTACTACTACTACTACTACCATCCCATTTTGCTTGCGTTTGTCTTCTCGTCATTCCTGCATTGAGCCTTCGCCAGCCCTGACAACGCTTAGCTTGTGTTTGGTGCGTCGTCTGCGATCGCAGTTTCATCAGAGCGACGTCGTGTATCGCGGTCACGATACATGATCCACGCCAGCCTATCTAAAAGTATGAGCACCGACTGATCCATCCCACAGAAACGGGTAATACACAACAGAGAACGTCGAAACGAGACAACATCAATGGCGTACGCGCACGAGTAGGCTGGGGCAAGTCATGCGCGCGTGACCTTGCTTACGCGTGTTGTTCTTGGTGCGTATGCGTCATATAATTCTCCAGCCTCGATACCAAGGAAAATAGGGAAGGAATTAGGTTTGCGATGGTTACATGGGGCGAGAGGCAAGGAATTCAATCTTGCCTCTTCGCATCATAGTTGTGTGGCTCGTAGCGAACCAATTGAAAAATAAAGTCACCATGGTAGAATTCTTTTCATTGGACACGCCAGAACTTCTATTGTCTAACTCCAACTTCTCATGTTACCTAGAAAAGCATGCTTGAAATAGTAAATTACAAACAAAAAAAAAGCCGCATGCACATCACACTCTTTATCCGAAGGTGCCGCAGCAAATAGGTTAAAATGTCAAATAAAACGCGCCTTGATTGATACAGCACACTTGTTTTGTTTATAAGCCATTTCATTTAGTCATGAAAAAAACAAAAAAACGAATTAATATAAAAATTAGATTGGATGCGACGTTCCAAAATTTTAGAACAATTACCATACGCAAAGAGGACTGTATATGTACATTAGTTTTCGAATGCGAGTTTTAATAATAAATGCTTGACGTGGGAGCTTTAAGCGCAGTTTAATTCAACGCGATGAGAGTAATCCAATCCTGGTTTATGTTTTATATTGGAACAGCTGTCATTTTTTGAGAAATTTCTCAGGAAAAACCTTGCAACCCTTTTCTGTATTTTGTCATGTTTGTCACTTAAAGACATATGCCAATGGATATTTTACGGCACAAGCGTATTGAGGTATAGGGTGAATGTATCCGAACCACACCGTTGATTGTAAACATGCCGGCGCCTGTCTCAGCCTTCACTGTATAAAGCATAATAATTTGGCGGCCTTCACCACCACTGAATAAACATGAGCAATCCATGAGTGGCCCTCTATGGTTTTTCATTCGTTCTCCACCAACCCAACCAAGGCTGCACAGAAAAACCTGCTGTTCTATTCCCACTGCAACACCCATGTTTTCAGGGCATTTCTTCACTTCCTTCAGAACATTGGATAGCTGTCTGAAAATGATTACATGTAGATGATATATATATTGTAAGGCAACGTTTTGGCCGCAACACACTTTTTTACTTGCCGAGCCTCTGCCTCACAACACAGGTCAGACTGATGATGATGAGTATGTACATATGATAAAATGACGCGTATGAATAACGCTCACACATATTGCCCTCCCCACGCGTAAGCGGCCAGCCCGGACGCGTCTTAGACGGAAACGGAACGTCGAACGAATGGCTTCAGACGCGATACGTGGACAATCTCCGAACCACGACAGCGACGATCCGAAGAAAGGTCGGTGGGAGTGACACGATAGTTCACTGAGGACGTTTGTTCATTGACTGTATATGGTCCAATGAAGCGTGACTGAAACTTGTCACACAATCCTGGAGAACGAATGGGCGTCGAAAGCAACACTTCATCCCCCGGACTGAAGGAAACGTCGCGATGAGAGCTGTCGTAGCGTTGCTTGCGATCTTGCTGATTGGCTTCTGTATTAAGGCGAGCCCGTTGCCGACATTCTTCGAGCCTTGTGATGAACTGCTCTGATACGGTTGCCGAGGCGTCGGTTGGCACATTTAGGAAAGAGACGTCGATGGTGAATGTCAGTGAACGGCCGTACACGAGGTAGAAAGGCGAGTAGCCAGTAGTTCTTTGAACAACGGTATTATGGGCAAACGTCACAAAAGGCAAAATCGTATCCCAGTTGTCGTGGTTTGGTGTGATGTACATCGACAGCATGTCTGTTAGTGCCCGATGAAATCTCTCTGTCAGCCCATTAGTTTGGGGATGGTAGGTTGACGTCGTCTTATGTACTGTGCCACAGGTTGTGAGCAGGGTTTCGATTATGGTGGACAGCAACGTCTTGCCGCGATCACTCAGGAGGACGCGAGGTGCACCGTGACGCAATACAATGGCGTTGAGAAAGAATTC